TCCTGCTGCTGCTGCTCGGCTCCGCCGCCCGCGCGTTGGGGCTGCCGCCGCCCTCCTACCTCAGCCTCAAGCGCAACCTGCTCAACGTGTGAGGCGCGGCGGGGGGCGGGGCCTGTCATGCCCCTGCCCGCGGGTGGCCGGGTGGCACAAGGGGCGAAGCGGTGGCCGGGACGCGGGCTGCAGCGCAACCGTGTGGGCAAGAGCAGGGCACGGCCGCGTCTTTCGGGGCCGGAGGAAAGGACCTTGCAGCGATGGGGGCGCGCGAGGGAGCGCGTTTGCTGTAGCGAAGGGAATGGACAGGAAAGGCCGAGCCCCGGAGACGCACTGCAGGGCTGTGGGAAGCTGGACACAGCGCCCACGCTGAAGGCGAGACACAGGCAGGAGGGCGGCAGGGTTCACAGCAATGGGGAATGGGGGCAGGAAAGGGCTCTCAGGCATCCTGAGTGTGAGCTGACAGACGGGCACCTGCCCACCGTGGCTCTCCCTGAATGAAGTCGTAGATTTCATAGATTTTTAGGGTTGGAAGGGATCTCAGTAGATCATTGAGTCTGACCCCCTGCCCTGGGCAGGGAAGAGCACGAGTAGGATGAAATCATTAAAACCCTTTCCCATTCATGCTCCTCCTCAGTCAGCCTGAAAGTTTAATGCATTTATACGAGTCCCTCTTGGCTTTGTTCCGGCAGCTACTTTGTGAAACTGGCCTGGGCCTGGACGTTTTGGCTGTTGCTTCCCTTCATCGGAGTCACCAACTATTGCCTCACCCGGAACGTGCAGGATGTTCTGCGGCGCCTCAGTACCCTACTGGTGGGCACTGCTGTCTGGTACATCTGCACCCAGTTCTTCATGTACGTTGAGAATCTCACTGGCAGCTGCTACAAGTCCTCAGCACTAGATGTGCTGCATCGGGAGCACCAAAACAAGCATCATTGCCACCAGGCTGGTGGCTTCTGGCATGGCTTCGACATCTCGGGCCACTCCTTCCTCCTAACATACTGCGCCCTAATGATTGTGGAGGAGATGGCTGTGCTGGAAGTCCTGAACACAGACCAGAGCTCTAGATTGCATGGTGTGGTCAATGCCCTCTTTGTTGCCTTGAGCTTTCTGGTCGCTATTTGGGTCTTGATGTTTTTGAGCACTGCTGTATATTTCCATGACTTCTCCCACAAATTGCTTGGCACACTAGTGGGCCTGTCGGCCTGGTATGGGACATACAGATTCTGGTACTTGAAACCTGTGTCTCCTGGACTTCCTCCCCAGAATACTTGCTTGAGTTCAAAGAAGTCCAGTTATAGCAGATAAAAAAAAAAAAAAAAATTCTGTTTCCTATTTTGTTTTAAATACAGGATTGGCTATGATTTTTTTTTTTTTTTATAGGAAGGAATGTATTAAGGGGAGGGGAATTAAAAAACCAGATGTCGTAGTTTGATGGTCCCCGGATGGTTACAGTCCAGTTCCTGGAGTCACAGACTGCCACCCAGGAATAGGAGTAACTGTCCAGGTAATGGGTGATCTTGGCAAAAAAATCAGCCACAGAGTGCCCTTTTCCCTTCTTCAGGGTTCCACCAGGACAATCAAGTGTATTGGCAAGATGTGGTAGGGGAAGCTTACATTGCTGCTACCTTTGCTGTACCTGTTCTGTGGAGAAACAGGGAAGATTAAAGATTGACAGACAGCCCCTTTTCCCTCCCTCCCTCCATTGTTTTTTTTAAGACAGAAGATTTTAACAAGGTCCAAATCTCGAGCTAACTTTAATTGCTGAATTTTTGTTTTAACTCTCCACTTCTAATCTTTCCAGTTGTGCCAGAGGCAGTGCAAAGCTGCTAACTATTGCAACAAACGTGTAGTTGGCAAGAATACTTTAACAAGGAGAATGCAGCTCCGTTGCAAAACTGCAGCACCTGTAAGTGTACAGTCTTTCCATAAATTCTTACCAGCCCTTGCTGCTAGAGTAATTTTTGTTTTTGAGGCCCGACGTCTTACACTAGTTCTTAAATGTAAATTTTCTGTCTCCTGTCAACCTTTTAAAATGAAAGGCCCAAAATGAGTTTTATCTCATTAGATAGCTTATTTTTTCCTTAAATAATGGTGGGTTTTTTGCTCTTTATTCATAACACTAATTAAAAAAAATCAGAAGCCATAATGAGAGAACTCCTTCAGGTACTGTTAATGTCTTAAATTACTTCATTTCTTGTACAAAAGTTTGGGAGCAATTTTAGACATTTATTCAGCTTCTGTACTTGCAACTGAAATACCGTTTTATGTGTTCTTTTTGGAGGTGCAATGAAGTTCTGAAGGTCAGGTAACAAGCATGCTAACTGATTTTTGCACTGACTTGAATCAGTATTTTATTGTTCTTGATAACTATATAGAGCACAGGATTGTTTTTTCCAAGGTTATTATAGTAATATGCATACAGATATTTATTCGTGTCCTGTCAGTATCAGTAAGCTCTTTCATTTTGAATGCACGTTAAATGTTGTTTATTGCTGATGTGGCAAAACCTGTGGCTAGTAAAACCCAATTACATTATAGAAAGCACAGATATACATTGAGTTGGACACTAAGGGTATTTTTTAACCAGTACTTTTAATTGTTTTATGAAAGGCCTATTTGTGTTAGGAACAAACAAAATAAGTTTTTCAGCTGTAACAGCATGTCCAACATGCTACCAAACAGCCTTTGTCTCAGCTAAAATTTAGATATTTGTAGTAGTATGATAATGGACCTAAATTTTCTTCAGACCTCAATTCTGAGTGGAGTGTTTTGCTGCCTTTTAGAACAAGGTGATCCATAACCTAATCTGGGTATATATCATATTGCCATTTCAATTTCCTGGCCAAAGAGAGGGGTAGGTTCACAAACACTAACACCTTAATATTTCATTTGGGGCCTGTTCCTATGAATTGCTGAATTCCTATTGATTTCATTGGTAACTAAAAATTACTTAGGTACTCCAAGAAGGTACAGACATGAGAATCAGGCTGTCTTATGAGATCCCTGTAAATAGGTGTAAAGTACAGATTTGTATTTTGACTTCATTTTGGCTGCTGACAGACGTGAAACCCCAGAACAGTGCTTTACCAGAAGAGGCATTGTATCAGTATGACCTAGCTCGCCCAACGTCTGTATAGATCACATGCTTCAGCAG